ACAAAATCTACACATAGAAATCCAGAAGATTAATACTAAATTTTCAGAAATAGATGAGACATTGAATGGGCAAAGGAGTAGAATTGAATCAATGGAAGACAGAATTAGTGAGATTGAAGAAAAATACCTCAATACTTCTTTGGAAAGTGATCAGTCAGAAAAAAGATCAAAACAAAATTAAGAAAGCCTAAGGTTCACGTGGGATACCATCAAAAGGAATAACCTATGTGTCGTTGGAATTTAAGAATAGGTAGAGACAAAACCACAGAAAAAATTGTCAAAGATTTGTTGAAGAGAATTTTCCTGGTATGATGAAAGATGAGAATATATCCACTCAAGAAGTCCAATGAACCCCAAACAGGAAAGACCTCGAAAGAAAATCTCCAAAACATATCATCAAACTCACCAAAACCAAAGACAGAGAAAGAATCCTGAAAGCAGGATGGGAAAAATGAAAAGTTACCTACAAAGGGCAACCAATAAGATTAAGCTTGGATTTCTCAGCGGAAGCCATGTAGGTGAGAAGACAATGGGATGATATATATAAAACCCTGAAAGAGAAAAATTTCCAACCAAGAATTATGTACCCAGCAAAATTGTCCCTCAGATATAAGGGAGAAATTAGGAGATTTCTAGAAAAGCAGCAATTAAGGGAATTTGTTATAAGAGATGCTAAAGAGAGTCCTTTTGACAGAGAAGCAACAACAGCAAACAACTGACCACTAACACACATGATGGCATAACCCAGAAACCAACCCAGCTGTGGAAGTATCCAAAGTAAATGAGCCTACAAGATTGTAAATGGAACCAGAGACATCAATTGACAAATGAAGACAACTGCAAACCAAAAGAGGGAAAAAATTGTGTAGTTACATGTAAATGGTAGGAAAGTCGAGACAACTACAAGGTAGGATGGACTATTTCTAAACTTGGGAAGAAAACTATAAATCACAGGGTAACCTCAAAGAAAAATGATAAAGCTTCACATCAAAATCAAAAAGAGGACCAGCACAAATATTTAGCAAATACTAAAATAACAGCTACAAAGAAAGTGATAACATGACTCATAAACAAAATGAGCTCGGTACAGAAAATTATGTGGAACAAAGAAATCAAAGAAATCAACACCATGAAAAAACACATAACAAAAATGATAGCAACAAATTCATACTTTTCAATAATTACATATCTGGGAAGGGACTTATCTCTAAGATTTATAGAAAACTCCAGTGCCTCAACAGCAAAGGAATTAGCAATCCAGTTGAAAAATGGGCAGAAGATATGAATGGACACTTCACTGAGGTGAAGGTAGCCAGCAAATACATGAAGAGATGCTCACGATCATTGGCCATCGGAGAGATAGAAATCAAAACAAGATACTAACCCCAGCACTGATGGCAAGGTTCAACAAGACAGAAAATAACAAATGCTGATGGGAATGTGGAGAGATTGGGACTCTCATACACTGCTGGTAGGACTGTGAAATGATAGAACCACTGTGAAAAGCAGTATGGTAATTCCTTAGAAAGCTGGAATTGGAGCTACCATTTGACCCAGCAATCCCATTACTAGGTATATATCCAAAAGAGGTGAGAGCCAACACAAGAACAAATACATGCACACCCATGTTCAATGCAGCACTATTCACAATAGCAAAAAGATGGAAACAACCTACGTGCCCATCCATGGAAGAGGGGATGACCAAACTATGATACATACAAACTATGGTACGTACAATGGAATACTACACAGCACTAAAGAATAATGTAGTCTGCAAAACACCGCATAACATGGATGAACATGGAGGACATTATGCTGAGTGAGATAAGTCAGTCACATTAAGACAAATATAGTATTAGTTCATTGTTGTGGAGGGTCAAGGAAAGGTTTATATATGTAGGAAACTTTCTTTGCCAGGGGTGGGAGGGATGGGAAGGGAACACTGCAAAAAAAAAAGATGCATTGACCCCTGTCACTTTAGTTTTGTGTATTTCACTTTACATAAATTTTATTTCAATAAAATATATTTAAAAATTGACTTGATGGCAACAGATCTTTAAACCAAAATTATTCTGAATTTGATACATTCATTCATTCATTCATTCAATTTACTAATATTTAATGATTTACTACTTTGTAACCAAGGCATAAACCAAACCAAACTCATTGCCATCAAGGCGTATCTGTCTCATAGCAACCCCTCCTTGGGTTTCCGAGGCAGTATCACTATGGAAGTAGATTCCCCAACCTTCCTTCCAAGGAGAGGCTGGTCAGTTTGAACCACCAGCCTTCTGGTTAGCAGTCAGATGTCTTAGGCACTACGCCACCAGAGTCCCAACCAAGGCATAGTCCCTTCAAAAATGATAAACACATGGAGGAAGTGGGTGTAATCAGTATCACAAAACAAAATGTGTATGAATCGTTAAATGCAAAAGCAATTTATTCTGTAAAGTTTCACCCAAGTCAAAATTTGGCAGGGGTAGGGGTGGGGACTGAAGATAATGGACTATGTAAAGGTAAAATTTTTAAGAACTAGAGATTTCAGTATATTCTGAACAATGCTTTACTGGAGGTATGTCTTCATTAGGTATAAAATAGAAAAAGAGAATAGGAGTGCTTAACTGAGAAGATCAAGAGAGATTTGAAATTTTAGAAAAGACATGCATGCTTATATGCTGAAGAGAAACTAACAATAGAAAGGTACAAATACCACTGCTCTCAATTCAGTTCTGACTCCTAGTGACCCTTTAGGACAGTAGAACTGCCTCGTAGGGTTTCCAAGGCTGTAAA